TGTGTTGTAAAGTAGCCACTCCTCCAAGCTCACTCCCTGTGATGGACTACAATCTCAATACAAATTGGACTACAATCATGTTTAGTTTACTAATTTGTATTGAGATTGTAGTCCATCACGGGGAGTGAGCTTGGAGGAGTGGCTACTTTACAACACACACAAGGACCATGGAGAACAAAAGTAGCCCCCCTCCAGAAGGAAGGACAGGGTCATTATGAATTCAGAGATGATTTGAGGATCTACAGCGATACACAAATAACATACATTTTTGTTAATAGTTAAGGTACTGGAATGTATTTTTAAGATCTAACTCCTGAGTTTAATGTCACTTTAAAGAGGCTGTCCCCAGGTGAAAGTTTCTTCAGTTGCAATCAGTAAAAGGACATACTTGCAGCCCCATGACATCATGCCTGGGCTCCCTGCACAGCCTCCTGCAAACTCATATGACAGCACGGCTAAGTGTGGGAGTACATTTTCAGAGAGGGAGTCCTTTACAGCCCAAGGATAAGAAATCTGCAATATGAGAACATGCCTTTGGAAAGCAGGACTTGCTAGCTTGTGCAGTTTGCTGCTGCTTTGTTTCTGTTCTTGCACTGATAAGACTTCAAGACTGCTTGTTTTAAGCCCTCGTTCACACCTGAACGTTTTGTAGCGCGTTCTACGCTCGACGAACGCTCTACAAAACGCTCAAAAAAATAAATCCAATTGTATTCAATGGTCTCGTTCCCACCTTGGCGTATTTCCGCCCGTCCCTAACGCGCCACAAAACGGCCCACGCCTGAAAAGGTACAGGTACTACTTTGGGCCGTTTTGTTACGCGTTTCCATTAGGATACAGCCAAGTAGCATTCGGAAACGTGCAACTTTTTTTACCGCAAAGCACGGTAAAAAGACGCGCATATGCAATACGCCTAGGTGTGAACGAGACCTTACAGTCTGAGCTTCTGTCAGTGCCGAGAGCATGCGCCTAGTCTGTACCATACCATGCATGCCTAGATTCGAAGCAAAGAGTCATTGTAGTGATTGTAGGGCACCATTGATGTCAACTCAAAATGGCATTGCCCTGCAGCAATATGGAACTGCTTTCCAAGGGACCAAAGAAGACACTTTAGGAAAAAAAAATGTAAAAAATGCACATAATGGTAAAGGACTTAATATTATTATTTAATATATACGCAGTATTTGAGATAAACATCTAGGAGACAGAGCCTCTTTAATCAGCTAAATACATTCCAGCTGTATTAAAAGAAAAAAGGTGTTCCAAGTCTTAGGCTGGGTTCACATATGGGCGTTCGTAATATGCACGTTTGACGATCGTTTTTACCACGATTTGTGGTCAACGAGACGCGCGTTTACGAGGGCTATCCAGCTGTATCCTAATGTATACGCGCGGAAAATACGCCCCAAATAAGCTCCTGTACTGTGGGAACCATGCCCATAGGAAATAATGGGATTTCACTTGCTGGGCGTTTTACAGCACGTCGATCAGCGCTGTAAAACATCCAGGTGTTAGTTTAGCAAATTCTGTGTGCTGTCAGCATGCTTTAGAGAAGGACCCTTGCTCTTTGCAGAGGTAGACCTCTCCGAGCAGCGGGAAGCAGAAGCTTTGCTAACTGCAGAGCTATAGGTCTGACTCAGTAGGTGACCTGCCAGACCTCAATGGTGATACCACTGCTTCCACCCAGAGAGCAAGAGTCCTTCTCTGCAACATACTGGCAGGGGGGAAGCTTTTCCAATTCGGATGCTTTCTTAAAAGCAAATAAAAAAAAACACCTTTTTTGTTTATACACATGAAATTTAGCAGATTTAAACGAAAAGTTCAGCTGGGCTTTAACCACTTCAAGACCACCCACGTCAAAATAAGTCCTGTCCTGAAGTGGTTATAAAACAGCAGATCTCTGCTTCATCAGCTTCTTTGGGGTCACGAGGTGACATAAGGGGTCTGAAAGACCCCTGATGTCTCCATAAAGAGGACCTATCACATCATATTTGCCATTACATAGGGGGCTTGTTACCCTCCTATGTGATAGCAATAAAGTTAAGTGCAACAAAATTTAACTGTTTGCCAAGGATAACTTCATTTTGCAAAGTTCTTTGCCTTACTAAAGAAGCCAAAAAAACTATCAAATCTGTTTCTGCCAAATGAGAAATCACATGCTGTATATAAGGACTAGCATGTCAAACACGCATGCAGACATCCTGCATAGAGATGACTGGGAAAGCCCAGCTCGGTTCCCCCACAGGAACAAAATGCATAGTAAACAGTTCAAGTGACACTAACTCAGGACTTAAATCTTAAGAATGCATTCAAGTACCTTAACTATATACAAAAATGTATCTTATGTGTGCATCACTCAGCTGTAGATTCATAAATCATCTCTGAATTCATGATGACACTGTCCTTCCTTCTGGAGGGTGGCTACTTATGTTTCCCATGGTCCATGTGTGTTGTAAAGTGGCCACCGCCCCACGTTCACTCCTGTGATAGACTGCAATCTCATGTTTAGTTTACAGATTTGCACTGAGATTGTAGTCCATCACAGGAGTGAGCTTGGAGTGTTGGCTACTTTACAACACACACAGGGACCATGGAGAACAAAAGTAAATCACCCTCCAGGAAGGACAGTGTCAGAGATGATCTGCCGATCTACAGCACAGACCGACTACATTTTTGTTAACAGTTGAGGTACTTGAATGCATTTTTAAGATTGAACTCCTGAGTTTAGTGTTACTTTAAGAAGGGGCCAAGCAAAACAGATAAACGCACTCATCAATTCGTCACCAGCTTTACAGTAAGGTGCACACGGAATGGGCTTTAAACAGTAAAATAGCAAAAAGTTTTCCTGGCACACTCACAAGCTAGCATGTAAAAAAACTTGTCTCACACAAAGGTTACAAACAGAGGTTTGAATACACGTCTTCTGCAGAAAATGTGAAAGCCGCACAGCCGCGCCAAGGCACCTCTTTTAGTGCGGTTTGTTTACATGCTAGCTTGCGAGTGTGCCAGGAAAACTTTTTGCTATTTTACTGTTTAAAGCCCATTCCGTGTGCACCTTGCTGTAAAGCTGGTGACTAATTGATCAGTGCGTTTGTCATCTGTTTTGCTTGACTGTTTTGGTGCAGTGATGCATGGGGGTCTCAGCTGCCATTGGGATGTGTGGGATCCCTTGTGCGTCTCTGTGCCAGCATCAGGGGTGCACAGACAGGTTTTATACAAAGGTGCAGCTATTGGAGGGGAATTTATCAAAAACAGAGCAGACAAAATCTGGAGCAGCTGTGCATTGCAACCAATCAGCTTCTCCCTTCAGTCTGTTCAGTGAAGATTTGAAAATGAAAGAGAAGCTGATTGGTTACCATGCACAGCTGTTCCAGATTTTGTCTGCTCCAGTTTTGATAAATTCCCTTCAGTATATTTATGAAAAGGGACATCTTCCCAAGAAAGCTCAGAGATAAACTATGATTAGCTATCACAACTCATGACTTGGTTAAATTGAATCAATTGGCACATTGCTGCCTAAAACAATATGCAGCCTAGAAATGTATAGCTAAAAAAAAAACAAAAACACACCACACAACAAAAGAGTGAAACCTACCTAAAATAAAGGGACCTGCCCTCTTGGCATTACTTCCCGAGATACTGGTGCAGAGTGCCTTGGATCTGGCAGAGGTCTCTCCAGAATCCCTTTCAGATGCTCTCCTCTTCATCCTCTATCTGGAAAAGGAAAGTGAGAAAAGACGGATGCATGGGGTGAAACGCTGCTTATTCATTTGCTCACATGTGTGCCTTCAACGTAGTTTCTCCTCCTACAGATTTTACAGTCTGTTCCGGAACAGACACTTCTCCATCTGCTTTCACCAGCACATGCAATGGATACTGTACAACAGTAAAGAAAAAAAATGTAATAGGTCATCTGAGTTTTCATTTAACTCATTGCTTCAATCAAAGAAAAGTCAAATATTTGTAAAATCTTTTCAAGAGCTTAAACCACCCTTAGACCCACACCTGGGAAATACATAAGGCATGCTGTGGTGGGAAAAGACACTGAAGGTACAAAGGTTTGCAGCCAAACTGTTTAAACTGCTATAGTCCATCATACAGTTAAAATAAGATCAGATATCAATTTCCTTTGATTACAGAACTCATCAATATGTTGAAAATGGCACGATCTCCAATAATAGGAATAATAAGGATATAAACGTGTGCTGTGTACAAACAAGCAAAATGTACAAAACTACAGCTGTATTCCAAAATCAGAGAACAGAAACTTTGAATCATTTTCCCGGCAATGCCATTCTTCTTTCGTCGGCAAAAGAGTAAAACCTGCCCCTGTACCGACTGTTTACAGACGGCACATCACAGCGTCCTGAAATATGACTGGAGTTAATACTTTACAGAAAGTGATGACATTGTTACATAACCACACTTGTTTTATTACGCACTAACATTAATGATAGTGTGACCTGCTATTGAGAGTATTTGCCACGGAGGACAAGATAACCTGCTCATTAGGAAACTGTAGTGTACTCTGACTCACATATGTTGCATCACAAGAGAGGCTGTGCTAACATGCAAGATAAATGGTCTATACCCGCCTGAAGAAAACAACTAATTCTTACAAAACAGCAGATGTTACACTTCACAGATACAAGGTATAAATAGATAGATATGATACCTGGATTCCCGGAACTAGGAAAGCATTTAGTTACATGCTAGTTCATCGTTACATAGGAACAGTTACCTTTAGCTTTTTCAAATCCTAGAGTCATGTAATGTCCACTAATGCATGCAAGTGTTTGAGAGGATTGACTCTGCACTAGTTCTTCTGCAGGATGATTGGCAACGTGCAGATTTGCATTTGTCATTACTGTTCTCTATGAAAGGTACACAAGAAATGCTGCATGTTGTGCCTCTACAAAACAGGATATGCTAACCTATATAGCAATACAAAAGTGACCCACTGATGGAGAGCACTCTCCCTGCTTTGTGTACTGCTCCACTAAAGACCAGTGGAGATAAGCCCAGAAGCCTTAGGCCCCATTCACACGGTGTGGTCTGGGAATACTGTGGCAAGAACATACAGATTTCTGCTGCAGTAATCCCAGGTGTCTCAGTTTACATGCGGCCGCTATACCCACTGAAGTTCATGATAGGGTGACAGTGGCCCCATCTGTCAGCGGCAGTTTACATGTAATCCAGGGATGCTGGAATCGTATCGCCTGACGCCCAGAACATGCAGTACTGGGCTGGTAGTTTCTTTTTTTTAGCATGTAGCCCTGCTGCGGGCAAGTAGACCTGAACAGGCTGGCCTGGTCCCTGTGGTCAGGGGAACCATAGGGGCTGTGGAGAAGTGACAGCTGTGGAGGAAGTTCCCCATCCGTGCACCGTCCGGGACAGAAAGGAAAACGTCTACCGCTTCAAGCCCTGCAACGTGCTCAAAGAGCTCTACAAGACCACTACCCGTCCCCCGCTGCCAAGAGGAGCCTGTCGCCCACACAGGTCAGCAACTGGTTCAAGAACTAGAGGCAGTGGGACCACAACCTCTCTGAGACACACTCCAAGGAGGTGAGACAGATGGTGGAGACCCCCAACTCTGCTCTACTTTACTCCGCTCTGCCACTGCTGAAGCAATATGGCTGTGGACTAAACTTTTTCCAGGCAGTCAATCATTTATGGATAGAGGATGGAAGGCAGCTTGGGACATGGCAGGGAGCAGGCTCGCTTTGTTTTGAAACCTGGTTCTGGGCTCCGGTTTCATTCAGATGATGATGGAGACGGACTCGTTGTGTTCCGGGGAGCTCTCTGGTTGTGGCTGTCACACTGGTGACTTCTGCATGAAAAACACACGAAAAAGCGTGCAACAAAAGCTTGAAAATCGCCCACAAACACTCATGTGTAAATGGGGGCTGAAAAAGACCTCAGAAAATAGCTTTCCTCTGTTCTCACAGCACTGCACTTCTCTATCAACCTATCACATTGCATAAGAATAACCTGAAGAAAAAAAAATACAGGAAAATGTAGCACCGAATGCTGCAAAACAATTACTCAACAAAATCTGCTAACTAGGCCTCTAAATGTTTCCAGGAGTATACATACACTGGAAACACTACCTGCTGACCTCCACATGAGAGGCACTGTGCCAAACAATGACAGCGATTATCGCAGCACGCCGAGGTTACAGCAGCTTTTACAGGAGAAAAACTTTCCTTTTCATTTTTATTCGGACCTGCGTGGGAACATATTCTTTCCATACAAGCCAGCATTCAGGCAGGTATAAGGCAACATGCTAAAATATATATTTTTTAAAAAAAAACAAATCCTAAACCCTTTCAGACTGCTGATCTGGGAGCTGCACACAAACTGTTTTCACTTGCATTGTTTTCACATGCACTCTTACTTGAACGGTTACTGGACTGTTTTTTACATTTGCTTAATTGTACTACATTTTACCCACACTGGGGGTGTATATCATTAAAAAGCTGTATGTTATGTGCAGAGGGCTGATGCAAAATATACAAATCTTACCTTGCAGCATGCCGTCTCCTACACACAAAAGTCTTGACTTCCGAGCGCAGCGTGGTGCAAGGAATGCGACTTGAGCAGTGAATTGCTCTAGTCACATCCTCCTTACAAAACACCGGGGGGGGGGATTTATCAAAACTGGAGCAGACAAAATCTGGAGCAGTTGCTGATTGGCTGCCATGCACAACTGCTCTAGATTTTGTCTGCTCCAGTTTTGATAAATTCCCTTCTTTGTACTTTTCTCAAAGAATAAAAGGCATTCTGAGATAGTGAATGTTCTTCAATACACAAAAACAAGCTGCTATTGTGCGGGCCTCTAGAAGTGTCAGGAGTCCTACTAGGTTCTCTAGTATTCTCAAGTTGACCACCACCTCAAAGTCTGTATCTTCAGGCAAAAGAGAACAAAAACCCCAAAATAATGGCAGTTCACAGATTTCTATCCACACGTTTCCTTTAATGCCAGGGAAACAAGTTATAACGCCCACGGACAGTAGAGCAAAACTGAAACTGAGATCACTGTATTTACGGGAGCAGATGAGTAAAATAAGGAAATGGGACTGTCGCCATTTATTAAATCACCACAACTCCTCAAGAGACATGTGTCATGGATTTCCACAGAAAACAAAACAAAAAAGGAGTGCAGTTAATACAGCGTATCACACAAAAATACCCTCAAGAATAAATTGGCAAGAATAGGGTGATAGATATGATCTGTTTTACAGAACTATTATATATTGTGTGTATGGCATCTAGTGATCCCCCCCCTACTACTTGATTATGCTAATGTGGAAGAATCTGAAATGCAATTCTATGCTATACTGATCGTGCATCATGTGCTATTTTATTGTTTTATTCTACTTTGGAAAATTAATAAAATATTTTGAAAAGGTAAAGAATACACCTAAAAGTAAGGACAGGCTGCCTCTATTTTAGAGCAACTCACTCTGCAAATCTAGACATTCCTAAGATGCTATATTTCTCACTCTGCAGAGCAAAACTAGCATTCAGCAGGTCCCAATACAGGTCGTAACAAAATGTAGGTCTGCTCAAATCTTCACAAAATCAAGGAGCTAGCTCAAAAAACTCCAATGGTGTGCCACAGATTTAACACATGGAGTCTCACCTCAAAAGCAGCCATGTATATAGTTCTCTTTATACCACAGCAGCAGTATATACAGTTCTCCACAGACAGACAGACAGATATATCTAACTCTTATTTTCATAAAATCGATTAGTTAGCCGATTATTAATTTTTGGATTAAATACCATCTTATATTTAAAAAACACAGAGGGTTACAAAAGTTTACTTCAGAATAAAACTGCATGCGCTAGCTTCTGCAATTGCACAGCACTGGAACACACATTATTGCAGTACCGTGTGAAGCAGAATTTGTCAGGCCAACCTCGAAAATAAAAGTTTTCCCTACTTTTTACATTTAAAAAATGTTTTTGTTTTTATTATTATACTAGACATTTTAAATAGTTTCATGGATTTAAAATGTTAAAACTCCAAGCCAATATAATAAAATAGCAAAACTTTTATTTAACCAGTTGACATCCGCGGTGTTAAACCCCCTTCCCATCCAGGCCATTTTTCAGTATTCAGCGCTGCGGTACTTTGACTGACATTTATTCCTACAAACACAAATAAAATGATATATATTTTTAAATATTAAAGCCCGATCATCAGTTTAGAGTTAGCCATGAATAGCCCACTATGTAATAGCAGACTAGAGGTGACAGGTTCTCTTAAAAAGGTGACATTTTGGGTCTATTAGAGCTCAAGTACCACCTTTCCACTTCAAAGAAGCTATTCAAGCACACAACGTGCTTGAATAGCTTCAGTCAGGGAATGACAGCTGCGGGTAGCCCGATTCTGCTGCAGGTTGCTGAATGTAAACAGCAGGCAGTGGACGGGTGCAGTAGCCAGCTTGCTATTGGCCATTTCAAATTGCAATAATTGCAGGCTGGCTACTGCACCCGTCCAGTGCCTGCTGTCAAATCAGCAGAGGAGGAGCAGGTTTTGGGAGCTCTCCTCCCCACTGAGCATGGGCTGCAGAGTGTCTGTCCTCTTCAATTCCTGTTGGGAGTAGCGGCGATCGGAGGAGACAGAGCCAATGCAAAACTGGATCCCAGTGTGGAGAAGAGAACTACAGGATCCAACCAACTAATCGGTAATGAGGAGGGATGCA